AAAATTAGTGGGTGGGTCAGCTAGCGAGACGTCACGCTGGCTGACCCATATATTTTTACAATTTTCTCGGAAACCGAGTGAGCACTTAAATTAATTTTGGAGGCCCTAAATTGCACCTAAATTGCACCTAATTCCTGAGTAATTTTTATCATTTTTTGGAGTAGTGGGTCAGCTAGCGTGACGGACGTCTCTCTGTGAGCTTTTACTATATGAAAGTTAGCATAAAATGTGTTTATACAAGCTCAGCACTCGTGTCTGCGCAGTTGTCAACTCTTTTTAATGCAAGCCAGAAACCACCAGACAGAGAGAGAGAGAGCTTTTACCGTGTACTCGTATATATACAAGTTTAAAAAACCTCCGGCCATTTTTTTTTTTTTAATTTTAGGCAGTGTCCCCCAGTATGCTCCGCGGCGCAAGCTTTTTACAGCTTTCTGTAGGTTTGATAAGGGTACGCACAGAAAATAAAAGCTCTTTTAGTTCACCAGAGTCTTTAGGTCAGTGATACTCAAAACAGCGCCCGCCGGCCAAATTTTTCAAAACTCTCTGTAGATTTTATATGAACGCGCACAGAGTAATGGCACTCTCGGAACGTTACTGCTTTAGGTGTAATGTATTTATATCCCTCACGATATAACGAAAAAATATTAAGAGTTAATCGCCAAGGACGTGGGGCCCTAATTGGAGACAGAAATCTCTAATAGTGCAAGTTATTCTAGTATACATGATTCGGTTAGGTAAGAAGGGCGTGTATGGAATATTCCATAATTAAATAATAAACGGTGATAGTATGGAGCCAACGGCTTCTTCTATTGGCATTTCTGGGCCGAATTTGGCCATCTTCTCAGCCAACTCATTCCCTTCAATATTTGTACGTCCGGGGACCCAGCATAGAGTGACGTTAATAGCGCTCAGTTCCGCCATCGTGGTGCGACACTTCCATACAATTCCCGATTTTCCTATTTTTGATCCTATTTCTTTCAGTTCTGCTTGACTGTCGACAAAGATAGTTGCTTTGTCTTCTGGAACTCTACTACTAAGTAAAAGACTTGGTGCCCTCACTATAGCGTAGATCTCTGTTTGGAAGACACTGCAATCGTTCGGTAAACGAAACGACAGGTTTATCTGCAGGTCTTGCGTATAGACACCGTCTCCGGTTCCTCTTTTCATCTTCGAAACATCAGTGTAGATGGATATATCCCCTCTGTTACTAACAGTCCTAGATCCCATCCTTCTCTGGCCCCCTTTTTATCATGTCCGAAAGTGATTGCCTTCCACGTATTGGACTCTCTGAGCCTGAGGGCGCTCTTTGCAGCCGTACCATGGCAAAAAGTGTGCAGCGGTTGCAGGTGAAATATCATGTTAAGCCCTTCCCGAGGTGCGCTACTCCCTGGCCCCGATATGACAAGGCGTGCGAGTCCTTAAACTTTTCCTATTGTTTTCATGTTATTTCCTCTGTCTAGAGCCCTCCACCATACTAAGGACCCATTGGTTTTTAATTGGTCTGATGACTGTGGTGTACATCCCATACGTGACGTATGGTGATACTCCCCATTGCTTTCCAAAGGTCCTTTGCACGTGTTGTGTGCTGCTACAGATTTCTTGGCACTCTCCTCTGAATAATTTTTCCAATTCAATTTGGAGTCTAAAAAAATGCTGATTTTGCTTCGGAGGAGAGATTAGAAGTAGTTTCCCCCAATTTCGGCAGAGAAAAAGTGGGTCCTTTTTGTTTCCTTGTAACCTATACCAGTTCTGTCTTGGAGGAGTTAAACCCTAATCCATTCTGGTAAGCGCACTTAGAGATATCACTCAGCTCGCTCTCCATTAGTTCACTTTTCGTTGACAAGAAGTTGCTAGTGATGAGTATCACTAAATCGTCAGTGTAGTAGACAACCCTGTTCTCCTAGTTTTAAAAATCTCCAAGCATTTGGTTCACCACTAAAAGCCAGAGGAGAGGGGATAGTACGCCCCCTTGAGGCATGCCTCTGATGGTTTTCCTACCACTTTGCGAAGCATGCTTTCAATGGATATACCTTTGCGATATGCGTATTGAGCTGTGCCCATGCTTTCGGTACATACCCACTTTCGAAGCATCTGGCAAAAATACTTATTAAATGTAGCACCAGAGTCGTACATCAGTATTGTAGCATAGCGGGCATCACGCCGTCCAGTCGCGAGGAACGCGGAAAGACTTGATAGCCCAAGCCACTTTCTCTCTCTCTATAGAAACACGAGGCCGACTTGTCATTTTATTACTGACAATTTAGTCCATGCTACCTGGAAAGTGGGTTTCTATTCAATACTCAAGGGCGCCCTGGCTAGAGATCGTCCAAGAGCCAACTGGTCAATACCTCTTGGAGCTTTGACGCCTGATTTGTGGTCTCCATCATTTCTGCAGAACTCTTGTCAGAATTCTTTCTTTGAAGCCCGAATATTTCTATTCGGTTCTTTATTTGTCCCAGTCTTCCTCATGTCGGCTACGTTTAACCTTGTTAAAGAGCTTCCGTGCTGTCCATGTATGTTGTCCCAGTTCTTTGATCCACCATGCCGACTGGGGCTTTGATCGTGTCGCATGAATAATCTGAAAGACAGCCAAACATTTCACAGCTCTGGTTTACATAAATAAATATTATTCAGAGTCTTATTCTGCCTGTGGCCAGCCATATGCATATGTATAAGTTACTAAATTTAATAGTACGCTCTTCGTTGCCCACACTTTATCCGCCAAATAAATTTTCGTCATAACTTATAAAAATTTCTAAACCGAATTGAAACCTTTATTCGTGAGCTTAAATCAAGCAATAAATTTTAGTATTCCATAAGTTTCTTCTTTTATTTCTGCTTACTTACAAAATATGA